GCTTGTATGGATTTGAGTCGTTGGACGAGGTTGGATATGGTTGTGGGGATTGTGTTGTTCGCGATCCAGATGTCGGGTAGGTGTCGCAATGCCGGGTGCGAGTTGAGGCCGTGTATGATGAATTCTATTGTGACAGATTCATCATGTTGAATGCTGGGGTACTCTGCGAGACACATTTTTGTCCGTATGGTTCGGTGTGCTGCGATGTATTCATCTATGTCCCCTCCCGCCTTGATCTTTGTGCGTTGTGCTTCTTGTTTGAGGATGAGATGTGTGGTTGGCGTTGAGTCAGTGAAGTGTGTTTTGATCTCTGCCAGAAGCTGTTGAGGGGTAACGCTGAGGTCCATGTCGATTGTGCTTGCCAGATCCGCAGGGAGGCTGGTCATGATGCTCATGCGTAGGAATGCACATTTTCTGCGGTATATGGAATGGTACGGGCTCGTTACTGTGGGGGGTGGTGAGCTTTCATCGAGGGCTGCCTCGACGTTGTTGATTATTGCTATGTCGTGGAGGGTTTGCGTCCATAGCTTGTAGTTCTTTCCGTCGCTTGCGAGTGGAGGTAGCTGTCCATGCGTTCTTGTGTCAGCTTGGGGCATTTCGGGTGCTATTTCTTGTTGGTTTGACATTTGTGGGCGCTCTGCAGGTATTGTCGGGGCGTGTTGTGCTGGCTCTACGGGGGTGATCGGAGCTTGGTGTTGTGGCTCTACGGGTGTGGTCGGAGCGGGTTGTGTTGGCTCTACGCTTGCTGGCGGAGTTTGTGGGGTTGGGGCAACGGGGCTTTGTGGTGCCGTGCTCTCGTTGTCCTGATCTCGTCCGGGTGGTCGGTATACGAGATGATCGTCTTGTAGTGGTGCGTGGTTAGGGTCCATAATCTGTGATGCAAGATCGATGGCTCGGTTTACTGTGATCGCGTCTCTATCTACCTTATGTAGGGATGGTAGCGATCCGTAGGCCGGCGGCGATCGTGGTGAGTTGATCGCTGTTGTACGTGTGCTACGTGTGTGTATATGGCTCTCATGACACTCAGGCTTGCACTCTGCGAGAATGTTGAATGCGACATGTACCAGGCGATACCGTTGCACGATTCCGTTTGAATCTGTGAAGTTGTCGCACCTAGGCCTCCATAGTTCGGGTTCGAGCTCTAAAACGGAGGTGCAAAGCGCTGTATCTCTAGGCGTGAATCTGACTCCTGGGAGATCTCGGGCTACAGCACATAGGCAAGCACCAATATCTTGAATGTCATCTAAGACGCAGGTTAAGTTTCGGAGTTGTAATTGTCTGTCCCGAAACGCATCGTGTCTCGGTAGGGTCTGAGGCTCAACTTCTTCTGCTGCGGCTTGATTTTCCTGGCTCGGGCGTCGTAGAAAGGTTAGCGGCCCACTCTTGAACATGCTCTGGATATCGAAGCGCCATGCTTGGACGTGGAATGCATACGCAAGGACGAGGAGAGCTGAAGTAAACCTCATCTTTTTGCCGGTATAGAGAAGGGGACCGCGTACCCTTTGTTTGGCCCAGTATAGAATGAGACATACCGTAATCGGCAGGCACGGGGCGCGTTAAGTATTGAATAGTCTTCAGCGCTTCTTCATTGCACCGTGTTGGGTGAGGATAGTAGGGCCATGTGTTTCGAACTGGTTCTCGCAGTCTGCTCTCTCGAGCCTTGTGTTGCAGAAGAGCGTGGATGTTCATACCGGGTGGCAAACACTAGATAGGAAGCAGAGAACAGTTGGACGGGGTAGCATGTGTGGTCGCAAGTTGATGTGTGGGAAGACCGCGACCGTATGACCACGAACATCCGGCCATGGCAATGGAAGGCCATTGTCTTCGATGAAAAGCTGGGAAACTCGTCCTGGCAACCGTAGCCGTTGGATATGCAGATGGATACATGCGTTGGTCGGAGGGCCACGCAGCAGTTAAAAGATATGCACTCGCTCCGTCTCGCGGACGCGTCGAAAAACGAGACGCAAAAAAAAGGACAGTCGCGATCTCTTCCCTCGCAGGACAAGGAGTTTGGTCCAAACCTCGCGTTAATAGTGTCCTTAGCCCTCCTATAAAATGGTCTTTGCGCGTTTGTAAGGCGCTAAGTAGTGTATTTCGGACAAGGGTGTTGGTGGCGTCCGCTTTACGCTACCTAAACTTTATGCTACCTAAACTTTATGTCCTACCTACATGACATATAAGCCCGCAAAGTGCAATACCGCCACCAGCACACGTCCAGCCACCGCTCATCTCCCGAACACAGCGATGCAGGTCGCCGCATTCCCAACGGCAGGGTATGTACCCTGTACCCCGCACAATCTCCTTTTCTACTGCTGTACACAGCAGGAGAAAAGGAGATTGTCGCTAGAGCCGAGGAGCGGATACGCTTCGTCCCGAGAATTGCGTTTTCATAGGACCATTTGTACAGTGACCTCAATTCATGTCTTCTCTTACAGTTTCACTGCAAGCATGAGATGCCGGTGGTACAGTATCATGAGATGCCGGTGGTAAACCTGAACAGAGGCCCTCGCGGCATCCGTGGGCAGACACAATCATCCTGCGCCACACACTGTCCAATGTTTCTAAAGCCTGTGTCTTGGCTGTAACCTAAAGCAGGGTGGCCCATTTGTGATTTTTCGAGCTTTCTCTCTTGGACCTGCAATCAAGATTCTGGTCTCGGCGTCATGATCATGTGGAAGGCTTGAGACAATCTCGAAAGGCGGCATGGGCAGTCGAAAGGCGGCATGGCCTGTCGAAAGGCGGCATGGACAGTAGACGAACAAGTCAACAGAATCACTTCGCGCCTACGCGCCGACCACCTGAAGTAACTGTAGTGTAACCGTTACCCGCCTGCAGAATCCTGAACTACAACGGCAGCTGTGCATAGAGGTATGCTCTGCCATGTATCATATGTATCATCTCTACCTTCGGAGGTAGAACGGGCCTCCAGTATCATTTACGAACTGATCCCTCTACTGCACTACATTTTACAAGGGTACAGTGGGATACACGCAATAGTGCCACCCCTTGCTACATGCCCGAGGGTGGCACTATTCAGTACTGGCACTACTAGCGGAGAGTGAAACGGAGGAAATATACACCCCTCTAATGCTTACCTAGATATGTTTTAGTCATAGATAATCGCCTAGCACCGCTTGCCTCTCTTGTGATCTGCTTCCCTGAGCCTGTGCATTAAGAAATGCTTTCCTCGCGCGTCGTAACATAGAACTTGCTTCCTGTAAATTGCACTCATACGCCAATTTCTGTAGCCCCCAAAACAATTCCGTGAGCCTAACAGCAGTTGGCATCGGGCGACATTGTCGCGTGTCGGAACCACCATTATTGCAATCATTGTTTTCTAAGCCCGACTGAGCCAAGACAGATTTTGCAGACCATCCATCGCGTCGTTGACTATTCCTACAATTACATCCGACTTCTTCTCCACCTCCTGCTCACCTTGAGATGTCTACAGTTGGTACTTTTTCTTCACAATAAGTCGCCAACGGATCATTCAGTGCAACAATAATTGATAGTTTCTGTAGAATAGATACCGGTACGTGTGAGATTCGCAATTTCGACTTTCTGTTGAAGGGATAGACGTGTTCGCTTTTGCTTGGGGCGCGCGGATTGGGCTGGAGTTGTGTCATTAGGATTGGAATGACCCTTTGAGTTTTGAGGCTAAGGGTTGGGGGTGCTGAGTAAAACGTTGGGGGGGAACTTCCACACTTGAAGTGGATGGGATCTGAAGGCCATGAACGCATGAGCTTCGGGAACGACGTCCGAAACTAAAGTTGTACGCCGCCGAGGCGTGCCGCGGTTTAGCACGGGTCCATCTTACACGTGGACACGGGGATATGTTATGAGAAGACGTGACAAGAGCAGAGGTATGCTTCTGTCTACAGCTATATAGAGAGAAGCACCGCCAAAGTAGGCACTTCAGTATACAGTACCCTTGTATGGCCCCCTCCCCCCCCCTGTACTACACTGTAGCACTGTAGCGGGATCAGTTCCTAGACGTTAGTCTAGGTGTAAGCAAGAAAAAGGGGACTCGTTATTACACGTGTTCACTTTTTTTCTGTAAAGTACACGTGTTCACTTCTCCTTATGAGGGGAACGGGGTGTGAGGGGAACGGGGTGGCGTTTGCAGCACTTGGGCGAGCAAGTCTGCCGAGTAAGGATACCCCTGCACGTTCTCCAAAGCCGCTGAAATGAAGCATCTGGAGAAAACAACGCGCTTAAATATAAACTGAATCCGCACAGAACCGCTTCCGTGCCCCAGACGATTCTCGACGTCATGCCCACAGACCGTCGCTCGCGGCGGCGCAAGTCGAGCGCCGCGGCGGCGCCTTCCTCTCCCGCGGACGATGCGGTGGACATGCCTCCGCCCTCCGCGCCCAGCCGGCGCGCGCGTTCGGCTGGCGGCGCGGGGTCCGAGTCGCGCAAGGCGGCGGCGGCGGGCGGTTCGGGCGAGGAGGAGGACGTGATGGACCACGGGAACGCGAGCTACGCAATGCTGAAGCAGGGGCGATTCGGGCGAGGAGGAGGAGGAGGTGATGGACCACGGGAGCGAGGAGGAGGAGGCGGAGCGGAAGCGGCTGCAGGAGATCAAGGAGAAGGAGGCGGAAGACGAGGATGCAGCAGGAGAAGGGGAAGGCGGTAGGCGCGGCCGAGCAGGAGACGCTGGCGAAGAAGGAGCGGGAGGGGCGGGTGATGAACACGAGCAGCGTGAGGTTCGACGAGCGCGACGGGCGCGGCGAGGTGACGTTTATGTTTGTGTCGACGGTGGGGATGGAGAAGAAGCGCGGGCGGAAGAGGGGTAAAACTAAAGCTTGAAGTTTCCTCAAACACCCCGTGTGCCTTTATCCACTCCATTCCATTCCATTTATTTATTTTGAAGCTGTTGACAGCTTCAACAAAGTTTTTGGAATGACATCATTCCAAAAACTTTGTTGTTACATTCAAACCATTTCGCATTCCTCCCCACTTGCGGCCCGCAACGCGCGCCACGGAGCCCACTTGTACTAAACACACGATGTGCCAACACCGCAGCAACAATTAGCAACGCCAAGGGTGGAAGCAAATCTTCCCCGCCCCCTCTGCGAGAAGACCAAGGACAACAAACAGCGACAAACAGCGACTAACAACGGCAAGAGAGAAAGAGATTCCGAGAGAGGGAGATATAGAGAAGAACAAGCGCCGCTATGCCACCGCGGCCTATTCAAATCCGAACAACACCCCCTATTCACGATCACCATGGCTGATCCATACAGTATCTTGGGCCTCACCGGCCCGGCTGAGCAAGTCGTCCGCCTCATTGCAAGTCTCATCGAACGACACCAAGCCTACAAGGAAAACAAGACGCTCTCTGCTGAAATTCTCACCGCCTAAACCACCTTGTTGGCAGACATCACAGAGCTGAGAGACATGCCGATCCATGGAACGTCGTCGCGGCACACGGGCTTGCTCCAACGTGAAATCGCGGACATCTCAAGCTTCATACGGAAGTCCCTCGAAGAGCTGCAGAAAGAGTCGGACGACCTAAAAGCGAGACTCGGTGTGTTCGCCTCTGCAGTGGGAGATAGAGAAGTCCTAGAGAAGCGCAAGCAGGAAGAGGCGGACCGCCTTCACCATCGAATTCTACAAGCAAGCGCGGGCATCGATACTCGCACGGCCGTGGAGTCGATCGGCATCGATATTCGCGCAACTCGCACGGCCGTCGAGTCGACCAGGCCCGGCACGGGTGATACGTTCAGGGCGTCGATAAGAGCTGAACATAATTCTGCGTCGATATATGTGAAGCTTGATTCTCGGGGGAGCAATGGATTACCGGACACGTGTGAGTCGCGTCTAAAAGCAGCTGTGCTACTGAGAGATAGGAACAAGCAAGTGGGTGCGACAGCCGTGGGACAGGGCGGAGTCGGGAAGACATGCGCTCTACGAGCGATCGCGCACGATGCTGATATTAAGGCGATGTTTTCGGGAGGAGTGTACTTCATGTCGTTGGGGCAAGACGGAAACGTGGGACGGCTAATTGAAGAACTGTGTCTGATTGTGGAAGCGTCTGGTGGCAAGCAGACGGCTGTGGAAATGCGAGAGCAGAGCAAGTTTGAAAGGGTGTTAGCGAAGGTACAAGCATGGTTTTGCAGTCATGTGTGTCTGTTCATCATTGATGATGTGTGGGTAGTGAACGACATAGACGCGAACATCCTTCAAAAGTTGTCTGTTCTAGCTGACTGCGGGGGGCAGCGGGGGGAGGAGGAGCAGACTACTGTTCTCCACGAGGGATAGGGAGCTGCGTCGGATTGGGGAGCGAGTTGCTTTCGAGCCGAGGGAGAAAGTAGGGAAAGAAGCAGTTGACATGCTTGTGCACGCGAGTGAGGCGAATCGAGAGGAAGTGGATGATGCGAGATGCAAGGGAGCCGTGGGTGAAATACTGAAAATGTGTGGCGGATTGCCGCTTGCGCTGAACGTGGCAGGAACGAGCGTTAGATACATGAGGGAAAGATAGGAGGGAGAAGTGTCAGAAGCATGGGGGCGTACCTTTCAAGGATGAAAAGTCGTAACACGATTCGCGGGGAGAGTCCGAAGGACGGATATTCGTCGTTGGATGGGGGACATTGCACACGTCACTAGATATCCTGGAGTCGGATGTGGGAAACAGTGGGGAGACGGTTGATGAATTTTCGTTTCGAAAGATGCACCGGAGTCTGTGCGTTATGAAGAAGCAAGACCGGATACCTTTGAATTTAGTTGGAGATTTGTGGGAGATGGACGAGGAGCGGACGGAAAGGTGTGCAAAGGAGATGGAAAGGGTTGGACTAGTAGAAGTGCAGTATGAGAAGGGTTGTGGTGGGTTGCGGGTGCATGATCTGACGCACGATTTCGCGGTGGAAGAAGCGAAGAAGAAGGAGGGTGTAGAAGAGTGGTATAAGAAGATGGCGTATGTGTGCAGGGCAGGAGGAGGGTTGCTTGCGATGAGTGAGGACCGAGACGGAGAGGGGAAGAGCGCACGGGAGAAGTATGTTCTCGAGAATATATATCGTGTTTTGAAGCAGGGTGGGTATGTAGAGGAGCTGAAGAGGCTATTTTTGAGTGCGCGATGGGTGAAGACAGTGATACGGAGAGGCGGGGTTTGGCAATACGAGGAAGCTGTGAAGGGATTGAGTAGAGACTTGAAGGGGAAAAGAGGAAGCGGGAAGGTGGGAATGGGACGGGGAGATGAGGATGCAGTGGATGGAATGGTTTTGATGATGCGGGCTGCGCGACTGAGTGTACCGTTTTTTGGTGCAAGTAATGCCGGGATTTACTTTCAATTGTATGGGTGAGTGAAGCACAAGGCACGGGATTCAGGTTGTGTACGAAAGATGATGAAGGAAATCGAGAGATACGCACCACGGCCGTGGGTGTAGCCTGAGTGAGTGTGTAGCGCGAACCGATGGAAGGTTGGTGGAGCAGATTGTTCTGTCGAGTGGTGAAATTCAAGTGGGCATGGATTCCAGTGGTGACGTGTATGGATGTCAGTTGAGGTCGTCCGGGGCAGAGGTAACAGTTTTCAGGCAATCTGCTGAGGAGACGAAGATGGATCGATTAGGACGTGCATCGCAAAGAATATTTATTAAAAAAGAGGAGAGGAAGAAGAATTCCGCGGAAACGTCTAGGACTCGCGATGCGTGCATCGCAAAGAATTTTCGTAGATGCAACATGTCGTATCTTACACGTGTACATAGCCCCTCCACGGTATTTAACACCGTCGTCGCTCCTTCCCTCAGTAAACATGACTAAGGTCTTGAGTCTCCCTACAGTAAATGCAACATGTCAGCGAACGGTGCGCATACCTCGTCACGATTTGTTGTCCTCGTCTCGGCCCTGCTTCCGCCACACATGCCGCGTGCCCGCCGCTTCTCCCCGCCCCGCGCGTGCTGAAAGGCCAACCCTCCGCCCTGCCGCCCTGCCCTTCCACGCCGCCTGTAGGAGAGACTCAAGACCTTAGTCCTGTTTACTGAGGGAAGGAGCGACGACGGTGTTAAATACCGTGGAGGGGCTATGTACACGTGTAAGATACGACACCGCCCTGTGGGACGTCCCGCTCCCCTCGGCCCCCGTCTTCCGCTGCTCCGCCGTCCGTCTGTCCGCGAGCTGGCTGCTCTCCGCGGCCCACCGCCGCCCGGCCCCGGCCCGCTGGGCCGCCGTCCTGTCCGGCCCAAACGCCACCCACGTCCGCGCGCCACCGTCGCCGCCCTCCACCTCCGCCCGGCCGCCGACCTCGCCCTGCCGCCGTCGCCGCACCGCCCGCAGCACTACGCTGACGTGCCCGTCGCGTCGGGCGCCGCCAGGGAGACAGCGTATACTGTTGTCGACGTGCGCGCTGTCGCTGTGGTTGTCGTCGCCCAGGGCCCGTTTTTCGGGTGGTGGCGCTGGCGGAGGATGTGAAAAAGGGGAGCGCGCTTGAGGGAAAGTGTGCATGGGTATGGAGCGGGGAACCGTGATGGGGGGTTTACGGTGGCGTTACATACTGTACGTGCTGCGGCGTTTGCTTGCCGAGGTCATCAACATGCCGCCTGTCTCGAGATCTCCCACCACACGAGCTAGCGCGTCACCCAGCCGCGGATGCCGCATTAGCGTCTGGTGCGGTGATGTAATAACTCCGGGGACCGAGGAGTCGGGATAACCAAAGTATGTTGTTGGTTGTGCAGATGAAGGATCGATGAGGGTTTATTGACGAGAAGCGAACTCGTCGTCGCTTAAGTCAAACCGGAATCCGGAATGAGTTGCTGTTCTAATTACAGGCCAGCTCTTGATTATTCTAAATTACACCGTAGAAACTACATCTACAGAAAACCGAGTTCGGAATTAGAATAGAACCAGACCATCAGTCACAAGTGAGAGCCCAAGAGCCCGAGAGCCCGGATGGGGAGAGGAACCGTCAGTGCGAAACGCATTCATTGTGGGCGGGGGCGGGGGCGGGGTGGGGGGGAGGGGGGTTGGAAAAGCTTGAACGCAGAGTATACCTCCATGCACAGCTGCCGTTGTATTTCATGATTCTGCAGGCGGGTACACTACAGTTGTTCCAAGTGATCGGCGCGTAGGCGCGAAGTGATCCTGTTGACTTGTTCGCCTACAGTCCATGCTGGCTTTCGAGATTGTCTCAAGCCTTCTACATGATCATGACGCCGAGACTAGAATCTTGATTGCAGGTCCAGGAGAGAAAGCCCGGCAATTCGCAAATGGGCCGCTCTGCTTTAGGTTGCAGCCAGGACACTCTTTGCTACACCTCCTGGCTACAGGCTTTGGAAACAATGGACAGTGTGGCGCAGGGTGATTGTGTCTATCCACGGATGTCGCGAGGGCCTCTGTTCAGGGTTACGACTGGTGCCAGTAGGTGCCAGCACCTGATGAATGCAGTGGAACTGTAAGAGAAGACACGAATTGAGGTCATGTTAGGGTGTACAACAAAGCAAATTTCATGTGGTTTTATGGAAACGCGTAATGTAACATTACCTTCTCGGAGCGTAGCGTATCCGCTCCTCGGCTCGGTCGCACAATCTCCTTTTTCTGGTTCTGTATCCTGCCGTTGGGGACGCAGCGACCTGCATCGCTGTGTTCGGCAGATAAGCGGTGGCTGGACGTGTACTGGTAGCGGCACAGTATTGCACTTTGCGGGCTCATATGTAGGACATAAGTAGCGTATAATTATTGCGAATATTGCACATACCGGGGAGTAAAGCGGACGCCACCAACACCGTTGTCCGAAATACACTATTTAGCGCCTTACGCACGCGCGAAGACCATTTCATAGGAGGGCTAAGGACACTATTAACGCGAGGTTTGGACCAAACTCCTTGTCTTGCGAGGGAAGAGATCGCGACTGTCCTTTTATTTTTTGCGTCTCGTTTTTCGACGCGTTTGCGAGATGAGTGCATATCTCTTTAACTGTCGCTTGTGTAGACACTCCGATCTGACCAAAAGAAACCCCCAGGAACGATGCTGTTCCATCGAGGCTCTTCTCTCTCCTGGAGACCTGGGCTTTTATAGAACTACAGACCGAATTAAAGTCCTATGTAGAACTATCCATTAAACAAGGAAAGATGATTTGCACCGAGGTAGTCCTCTCCTCGCCAGGCATTTTGATTTCTTGAGAGACTATGCATTAGCACTACTGTCCAGCTATTACCCGTCAGCTGTCACTGTGGCAATACCGTATTATTAGCGAAGGGAGCAACTCGAATTGGTTTTGCACTTGGCACCCCGACCAACGCATGTATCCATCTGCATGTCCAACGACTGTAGTTTCCAACATGAGTTTCCCAGCCTTTCATCGAAGACAATGTCCATTCATTGTCATGGCCGGATGTTCGTGGCCATACGGTCGCGGTCTTCTTACATATCAACTTGCGACCACACATGCTACCCCGTCCAACTGTTCTCTGCTTCCTATCTAGTGTTTTCCACCCAGTATGAACACCCACGCTCTTCCGCGACACAAGTCTCGAGAGACCAGACTGCGAGAACCAGTTCGAAACATATGGCCATACTATCCTCACCCAGCACGGTACAATGAAGCAGCGTTCTAGACTATTCAATACTTAATGCTCTCCGTGCCTACCGGTCACGGTGTGTCCCATTCTAGACTGGGTCAAGCAAGGGGTACGCGGTCCCCTTCTCCATACCGGCAAAAAGATGAGGTTTACTTCAGCTTTCCTCGTCCTTGCATATGCATTCCACGCCCAGGCATGGCGCTTCGACATCCAGAGCATGTTTGAGAGTGGGCCGCTAACCTTTCTACGACCCCCGAGCCAGGACAATCAAGCCGCAGTAGAAGGAGTTGAGCCTAAGACCCTACCAAGACACAATGCGGTTCGCGACAGAAAATTACAACTTTCAAACTTACCCTGCGTCTTAGATGACATTCAAAATATTGGTGCTTGCCTATGTGCTGAAGCCCGAGATCTCGAAGGACTCAGATTCACGCGTCGAGATACAACGTTATGCACCTCCTTTTTACAGCTCGAACCTGAACTATGGAGGAAAAAGTGCGACGTCTTCACAGACTCAAACGGAAACGTGCAACGGTTCCGCCTGGTACATGTCGTATTCAATACGCTCGCAGAGTGCAGGCCTGAGAGAGTGGAGAAAGAAACACGAATTGCGAGGAGAAGATTAGCGACTTCCGATTGCACCGGAGAGGAGTGCAATACGAGTACAACGGATGAGGTAAGGGCAAGTGCGACGCAGCTGCAGGTGAGAATATCCGGTCTCCGAATGTACATGGAGGGGCTGAATGGAATAGGAGATGACTTCACATCCAGGACGGCGGAGGAATTGACGTCCCCCATGACGTACGTGGAAAGCAGGGTACGACAAAGCAGACGTTTTCTACCAAACAAACAGGGTACTATTATCGGAGCTTTCGAAGTGTTGCTGCAAGTTGGGCCAAACGTAGTTCAGGTTTTGAGGCCACTTCCGTCAAACGAAAGAGCAGTATATCCAAAAGCGAATTACAGGATCGAATGCAGATTGAAAAATGGAAAGTTGTCGAGGGCCGTTTTAACCGGAAGGAAGGTGGAGCTAATGATGAATAACATGGTAGAAGTGGAGATACCACTAACAGCTGTGAAAGATGAGTCATACATGGATGGTACTGATCGTCAAAGAAGACGGCGGAGAAGACGGCGGGTTGTAGTGGGTGCCTCGAAGTGTCAAGCGAGGAAATCTGTTGGAGAGAGAATAGTATTCTCCTGCATATGCAAGAGAAGGGGCAGGGGCACCAGTGGGGGAACAAGGTAAGCGCAAGGTAAGCGCCCGAGGAAGATGGAGCAGCAGCAGGTGCTTCCCTCCGTGGTTCGTTCACCGCCATCGATCACTATATCTCATCGCTTTTTGACACCGAAAAACACCTGTTGTTAAACAAGCCCGACTGTCAATGTTGTGTTTATTTTTTAGACGTCGTAGTCCAGTTCTGCTGAATCAAGGGTAACAATACTGATGTAGATGCTTGCTCACTGAATAAGGTTCTAAGGGAATGTGGTGATAGAAAGGCCGTATTAGTGACTGGTGGTCGCCCAGGTGGTCGCCCAGACAATATAAAAAAATGGGGGATCAAATGTCAACTCTCCAAGCAGAGTTGCATCATGCAATTTAATATACAGGAGAGTGCATTTGTCCAAACTGAATTTATACAGTTTCGATTTAGTAAGGTTGTCCGTGAAGTCACGAAAACGCGTGTTTTGGCGGCGTGTTTGCTCGGATTTTCTAAACGCAGATTTTTCAGCAACGCGTTTGGCGAACTCACAGCATACCGAAAACTGGGGGCATGCGAGTTTTCCAC